AGTCTTCAGATGTCAATTTTAACACCACATGGAGATGTTGTGCTTCCTGTATGAAGCTCTCGCTGATCAGCAGTGAAATAGATCTTACATGATGCCAGTTGAAATGAATTTATTGAAGCACCGGGGACGTCTGCTGCCGTCAGACAGCTCTGACCAGACAGAACAAACAAAGCTTGATGGGAAATATTTAGCGCCGAGACCATCCGCCATTGATCTCCCACCAAGGGCTGTTTTCAGATCAGCTGAACGTGCTGAGCTTTATTGCCGCCGCCTCGGCTCTCGGGTTTCACGGCAGCTTTTAGAGGTCGATATGGGAGCCTGTAGGGGACATTTGTTTGACATGATGGATGGCAAAGCAGACTGGAAATGAATAAATAGGCAGCACATTAGAGATAGGCAGCACCGTCCTGACAAACAGGCAGGACGGTGCTGATTTTGGCGGTTTTGCCCTTCATGCTGGCTCATGTAGAAGAAAGTAAAAGGAAATGTAATTAATGCATTGCATTGAAAAAAGGTTTGCATCTTTAAAGAAAGCCTAGAGCATTTACATAAGGCCTCACTGGCTGGCGTGTCTGTCCATGTTTTTTATGTGAACATTAAACTGTAGGTAGGTATGAAAACAGGAGCCACACCCAGACGCCGTTTTTAACTGTGAGTAATTTAGATAATTTTTTTTAAATTGTATAAATGACATTTCATTACTACAGACGTCAGAACTGTGAGGCTGATCTAAAAAAACGTATCTGCTGAGGAAGAACTGAGTCTAAAACGAAAACAATTAGATGTTTGATTTCTAATGAAAAATGAGGAATTTGAAATCATTACATCTGGTTTAAAATAATTTCTGTTAAGCTGAAAGTAAAGCACACCATGTGCCAGTTACATTTAAACACATAGTTTGGTTTACTTGCATTAAACTTGCATAACAGTGGGTTTTTAGGGGCATGGCTTCTTTGACTGACAGGTGCATCGTGACACAGGCGGTTGTAGCTGCACGGTGGCTACATACACATTTTGTGTAAGTTGATGTATTTTGGTCACAGTGAGCAGCAAAGACAGCGTGCAGCTCAGGTTAAGTGTTTCTTATCGGCTCAAATTGTGGTCATAAATATTTTGTACTTGTAAATCAGTTTTGTGTGTGGACTTGGCCAAAAAATACGTGTGAAACTCTGCACTCAAGTTTCAAGTTACAAGTACGAATTTTGACCCTAGTTTTCTTCCTTTCAACTGATTGGTCAATGTCATGTCAATCACAAATTTATCCAATCAGAGAACAGATGGGTTTCGCTGTCGGTGGGGCGCTTTTTTTGAACTGCAGGTCCTTGAAGGGAGGAGGATCTCTAAATATCTAGATGCTAGGTCCCCTAACTTTCAGTAGCTGTTGAAAGGATAAAGTTGTGGTATATCAGTGGTTAGAAAAACCATTATTACTTTAGGATTAGTTTAACACAAAGTCAGGGCTGTGACTCACAGTGTGCAGCATAAAGGTCCTTTCACATCGAGCTCTATGTCCTCTACAAGAGTTTCTGTTTTTTTATCTTCAAATGTTCAAGAAAAACATGTTTTGCTAATTCATAACAAAGAAAGCTTTGTAACTATCCTCACTAGTGAAGACTGTGTCATTTCCACAACACTGCCCCCCCTCCACCCCCGAGGTCCACACCGCTGTTGAAAAGGCTCAGGAGGTCCCTGTATTAAGCAGGTAAACCTGTGACACAACAATCACCAAACTCGGACCACCACACACTGTTTTCCTTCGTGGTGATGAAGGAAAACGCTGGGCTGGCATGTAAAAGAGCATTTATTCCCTTCAAGGACCTGAAGCTCCATAATGCACCCCTCCAACAGCCAAACCCAGCTGTTCTCTGATTGGATTGTTGAACTTGTGATTGACATGACATTGGCCAATCAGATGAAAGGAAGAAAAATAGGGTCAAAATTCTTCTTAGTCTTGTATGTGTAAAAAAGTCTTTTTACACATACAAGACTGATTAACAAGTACAAAATATTTATGACCACAATTTGAGCCCTCGGCTTGTCTCTGTGTGGGTTTTGTGGCTGCGTGTGATGTATGGAAGTCCACATAATGTGTGTTATCACATGACTGGCACATGCCCTCTCCGTGTGTGTAAAGTGCCCAGTCGGACGGGCTGAACACATCCCTGATGGCCTGTGTGTGTCTTCACTGACGTCAGTTGTAACAACAGCACCAACATGACATTGTCCAGTCCCGTTAAGAAACAGCAGTCGCCACGGCAGCATGACACACGCTTACACCACCCTCTCTCCAGAACATACAAGCAGGTGACCGTCTCATCTTCCAGCCAACAAGTGATTTTGGTGTTTGCAATGCAAACCACAGATACCAGGATTTAAAACCCTGTGGTGTCCCCAGCAGGCCACAGAAATGTTTATCTATTTATATGCAAATGGTACAGAGCTCCCGTGGTGACATGGAAAAAATATTATTGCATTGCAGCAAGTTAATAAAGCAGGAATGTAAAAATCTCGCCACAAGATGAAGAATTTGTGGTGTGTAGAGGACACTGGGTGAGCTGTGGGGCTATCATGTACAAAGCATGGACAAATTTGATTTCTTCTCAATTCATTTAAAACTTGAGATGAATTCTAATGTTTCTAAATGAGGTCTACCAGCTCAGAGACGGGCTGCTCCTGTGCTTCCCTGGAAAAATCCCACACTTCCTGAAGTGCACTGGACATTTTCTGCACAGTACAGTAGATGGTATAGACTGCAGACGTAGCTTCTGGATTTAAGAAGTGAAGCTCACTACTGCTACCAGGAGACAATACCTGTTTTTCCGAAAAGTTGAGTTTATGGTCTCAGTTATTCATTTTGGATCATATTGAATAAAATATAAACTCGATTTTGTATCAGAGAGGAGGTTAATCCAAGTGATGTTGTCAATCAAAAGTCCTGAGCCAATGACGATGTGGTTTCAACCGGCATATCCACCCCTGGATTGTTACATCTGGGCTCAAAACACCAAGATGGTGAGTCCAAATTGGACTGCACTCACCAGTGCGTAACATTATGGCGGCTTTATCCATTTTCCACTTTTGAAACATTGTTCTAGCTCTAACAAAGTTAGATTACTGGAACAAAAGGAGCCCACCCTGACCGAGCTGAAGCAGCGCTGCATTCCTAAGTCATACAGACAAAGGAGCTTGCAAAGAAAAGCATCTAGACTTCTTTAAGTTGCTTGAAGACATTGACCTTAGAACTGAAGAAGCTTCTCGAATGAGAGGTGAAACGTCTTCAAGCAACTTAAAGAAGTCCAGATGCTTTTCTTTGCAAGCTCCTTTGACTACAATGACCTGGATGACTGAGAACCTTCACAGACCTAAGTCATGATCTTCAAAGATGGAGTTGACAAGTTGACATTTCCATTTTCACTCACAGAGAATCCAAAAGTACTGATACGTTCAAATCGTTTAACACGGAAACCCTTTCTGACCATAGGGTTCATAGACCCTCAATGAGGTAATATTCCTTAATATAAACAAAGCTTGGTTGGGGTGTAGTACTGGTAACAGCCACTGGTATGTATAGCTCTCTAACGTGTTTAGTTAGAGTAACATACGGCATATACTAATTAACAAATTTAGACAATACAACAAAAGCCTTAGTGGAAGCCAACGTTATTTTTAAGGCTTCAAATTCAATGAGGTATAAAGTGTATTTAACTATTATTTCTAAATAATATTCCATATTCAGGATCTGTCTAAACCCCGGAAATTGTAAAAAGTGTATTTGGAGGTGTGTATGTAGTAAGCATTGAAGCTGAGACAGAGAAAGGCACACAGGTAAACTGGACTGTATTTAGTAAATATACCAATGCTGTTTCCCAAGTAAAACATTCAGAATGTATAGATGCCTGGTGCAACTAAACAAGGCTCCCATCAGTATATTACAATTTACAGCAGAAACAGAAACAGCTTTAACCGGTTTCAGAATAAAAAGAAAAATGCCACAAAGCTATAAAGAGTTCAAGGCTCGTGGTCTGATCTGTTGAGCACAAAGAGAAGCTGGATGCAGTCATCCAAATATGTTATTTTAAACCCAAACCCAATATGGATAATTAAGACACAATCCAAGGGAGACCAATGGACAGCCAGACACAGAGTTCCTTCAATCTTTCACAACAGATATCCATCAAAAGCTTTCTGAAGAAACTTTTTCAGTCTCATCTAAAGACACCATGTCCACACAAGCCCTAATTAACAAGAGGCCTTAGCTCTCACCCAAAGGTTGGGGTGATACTTTAACTTCAGATGGTCAGAAGTTGGTTCCATGTCACGTTTTACCTCCTAGTATCAATTTCTTCAGTAATGACACAAGAGATGAACTTTCTATTCTCTAACTAATTGCACCAGTGCAACAAATTAAATTAAACATCTTTATGTGAAAATCAATCAAGCAACTTGTTCGTTCACTTATTAAATGCTCACCTTCATCTTCGGTGAAGTCTTTGATTGAGGCCCAGGTCTTGTTGTTGCAGTAGAAGGAGGTGTTGGCTGGCAAGGTGTCATTGAAGCAGTGTGCCGTGCTCCGCACACACTTCTGCCGCAAATTTCCCATGAAGAGCTGCAGGCCAATAAGTGCAAAGACACTGAGGCAGAAGACCGTGAGGATCATCACGTCAGCGAGCTTCTTCACCGACTGGATTAAAGCCCCAACGATGGTCTTCAGTCCTGAGGGACCGCCGCGGGCGCAGGGATGCAGAAAGGGTTAATGTTTGAATAAGTCTTTGAGAACTGGTGTAACTGGTCTATGAATGGCGGGGATGTTGAAACCTGCTAACTTGATGAAGATGGCAGCCAGCTTAAATGACATGATCAAAGCAGTATGCCTTCAAATATTTAACTTCAACCTCTCAGAGGTCCAGTTACGTCTAAGGTATGATTCTATATGAGATTAATGGCTCTTTGAAAATTGCCAAACAGTTCCTTATTGTCAATTGTGAGTTGGAGTGTAAAGGTTGTTTTGTTTTTGTTTTTATGCATAGGCAAAACTAAACGACAGCCATCTTTATGCATGAAGGTGGAAAAAACAAATCAATTAACTGAAAGCATAAAAAATGCAAATACTCCATTCCTGTTAGGTGAAAACCTGAAAATATTCCTTCAGATGACAATAATCTAAAATATTTTGTAAAAGTTTTAGTCAATCATTGTTAAATTTTGGGGGAAACAGTCAGGTTTTCACCCATGAGCAGCTGATGAAGAAAAGTCACTGTAGGCTAATAATCACCATCAAAATACAGCAAAACAGACCACAAACTCCCCCATGTAATACTACGATAACAACACTAACACACACATGAACACATGGTAAAAACAGCAGGAACAAAAACACACAAAGGGTGCAGACAAGTCGACTGTTATCAGCCAAGTCTTACCAAAGAAACCACCAGTTTCTTATAGATTTTTAAATCACCTCTTAGCACTTTTTTGACTTAGTTCTTTCATTAGAAACAGACAATTACCAGCTCAAACAGGGTTTCTATTACTTTTTCATATTCAAAGATTTTGTCTCACAGAATAGCTTTTGTTTGTTAACCTGGAGGTGTCTGTAAACTAATGAAAATGAGATTAAGCTAAGCTGCAGTTCTGACATGCTGTCACGGTGCTATTACTTTACTAAAGTTATAACATGTGATTAAACACTGTTATAACATAGCCACTAACATGGCACGAGAATGTTTTCATCACATGTTAACAATGCTGTTAGCACTGCATGCTAACATGCACAGTGGAAACATACAGAGGCTAGCCAGCAGGACATCTGAATAACCGACTGCACAGTTTGCATATTGATTTGTGTCTTTGTGGACATAAACTGGTGTCTCCTGAAGTGTGCTGGGAATGTTTAAGTGACTTAGATATCTCCTAAGTGCATTAGCAAAGATGTTGCTATGTTCCCCGGCCTTTTATGTGTCATGGCTACTCATTTTAAGCTTTTTGTGTGTAATTTTAGACCAAAAAAGTAAAAGGTGGGAGTCCCTAACACATAAAACAACTCATTGTCTTATTAATACAGTGTCTCCTAATATCAGACTACTGCTTTTTCCTTCACAGGCTGAAACAAAAACAGCAGAACAGGTTAGATGAGATTATGTCAGCTGTATCTGCAAGCATAAACTCCATAAGCAACTTGATCAAAAAATGGGTAGCCATTTTTTGGATAGTCAGCATTTTCACTAAAAAAGATTTGGTCTTTACAGCTAGGTCATATTTACTGGAATAGCGTAAAAAGCTTAATTAGCAGGTTGTTTTCCACTGCAGAAACCAGCAGGTGAGCAAATATGTTCTTCGGTGTGGGCACTTCTGAAAACCCCTGGAAAAAAGGTTGGATGGGTCTCAGTGCTGATTGGCCAAACTCAAAGAGTACACCTGCCCTCTAAATGGCCTTTTTAAGCAGCAATCTTCTCTCAAAGAAGGTGCTTGCACAAGCACCATGACAATAGTGGTATTCAGTTTCAGAGAGCCGTAGTTATAGCAACAACTTACGGCGAACTTTTGATAAACTTAAACCTAACCAAGGCATTTCAATATATAACCCCAACTTTGTTTTAATGATAATTAGTAATCACTAAAACTTCTGTCAGATTCTTGACTTCAACAGAGAAATAACTCACTCGACCACCAACCTCTCCAGATTTATTTTGTCCTTTAAAAGTGTTATTTTGTGTACAGGAACAAATTTGTAGGTCTGAGGCTGAACAGACAAACGCTTTTGTCCAAGAACACAAATAACCCAATTTTAGGGCCACAAAACCCCATCAAGTAGTGAATCTGGTGAATTTTCCACAGCAAAAGCAACAGAGGGAGTGAAGGGACGCACCAGGTGGTCAGTTCTGTATCTGTTTGTCCCACTTTGTGTGTTATTCAAATTTCTGCAGTGGAAAAATAATTACTTACACTCTATCCTCCTTATCACAGGATCAGAATATTATCCCAGTTGCTCACATGATGGCATATCTTCCATTTTAGTTTATTAACTCATGTGCATGTAGGATTATTATCCTACATTTATTGCAGGATTTAGCACTGACATGATGTTACTGAGCAAACATGTAGTGTACTTCTACGAGGTACAATCATAAAGTTTTGCAACTTTATGGAAAAAACGAACATTCAAAAGTCACAACTGATTTAAATTAGACCTTTAACCTTTTGCAGGTAGTCCCTTAGTGTAACCCTGGACCACTCCCAGCATATCTACTGCCCTACAATCTGAATTGGTTTATGGGAAGAGGACAAAGTTTCAGGGAGCTGTGGTCTTCTGGGGAATGCTAATTTGGATAACAGCTGGTGGAAGTCCAGAGGTGCACAAGAGTATGGCCTTGAAGGGACGCTCAACCAAATTTAAATCAGGTATGGTTTTTTGAGTCTTGTAAAAGTTCGTGATCACACCTTGTAGACAATAGTTGTGTTTTCTAAAGCTAAGTATGAATTTATGTTGATTTGTATGGTGAAGCATTAAATATTGGAAGTCCTTTCTCCTGTGCCATTACTTGACTCATGGCCAAGAGCTGTTTCTGTTTGCTAAGCCTCTGTTTTCCACTCACAACCAATTACCATAAAAACCTTGGTGCTTCCTCCTGCATACTACCTCTGTTTACTTTGTTAAAGTGGTTGTTATGAAGTAGAGAGCTATCAGTAGGTAGTATGCGGGATGAGATTTCAAACACAGCCACTTAGTGCTTCCAGCAGATTGGGAGGAGTGCGTTTGGTATTCACTCCCCTGCATTCGCGGTCTCACCTGGGATGACAGAGATGGTTTTGAGCGCTCGCAGCACCCTGAACGTCCTTAAGGCTGACACATTACCCAGGTCCACAAACTCAGTCACATATCTGCAACAAGCCGGGAGACAAAAGCACAAAAACAGACACACACAGAAGGGTATGACCACACTGAACAGCAAGCCAGCACAGAGGGATAGAAAGGTGGAGATACAGCGAGAGACAGAAATAGATACAGTAGAGACAGGCCAGGTCGGAGGGTCAAGCCAGAGACTCGACTGTTAAGAAGGGGAAATCAGGTATTCAAAGCTATGGATTTGGATGTAAACTGGAGAAAAGGCAACTCAGTCAAGCACTTTAATATTTTAATGCCTGTAAGGTTCTTTTTGGGTATCCACATAGTAAACTTTAACTGATAAATAGTTACATTTTAAATGTCAGAGTGGTGTTTTCAACATCAGATACCAGAACCAAAACAAATGCCTTTGGGTTGCTTTTGTCTAACTTCAAACATCAAATGTTCAGTTTTGTGCCAAAAAAGACAGAAATCCAGCAAACAGGACATGTTTTTAAGAGTTCATCACGAGAAATGCTTTTGTTTGTGTTTGGCTCTGGAATGGACACTGAATTAACCAGTTTAGTGCGTCAGATTGTTTTAGCAAATATCCCAACTTGAAGGCATTTTGTTGCCATCGATTCTCCTGTTAACAAACTTTTAGACATATCTGATTTTTCCTTCTTTATTGTTCCTTTAATGCAGATCAGGTGATTGCACCTATGGTTCCCTGATTGGGCAAGGAGTGGGAAGTGGGTGGGGTCTGGAGCTGCAAGACACGGCAGACATGGGACGAACAAGAGAGGACGTTCACAACGCGATTACGATCGTCTCCTAGTTTGTTTGTTTTATGTCTCTTGTCGCCCCCTGGTGGTGGTGGTGGTGAGCCCTTACCTGGGATGACCGAGATAGTTTTCAGGGCTCTCAGCACTCTAAAGGTTCTCAGCGCCTGCAGGTTCCCTACTTTGATAAACTCTGTTAACAGCCTGTAGGGGGCAGTGTGATGGTTGTCAACAAACAACAAAGGAAGAGAAACACAACAAAGTCTGAAAATACTGCCGTGATTTTAAACCACCCAAAATTGACTTATTTGGAATATGTGAGCCCTACAGGTCATGCAATCAAGGTGTACCGTTACACACCTGTAAAGGAAAATTTTCAAAAAATATTTTTAAAAAGTCAAGTATACAGGAAGTTTACGTTTTGGTTATAAAATTTCTAAACATCACATTATTCTGTGTTTAACTGTTACTTTTTTTTTTAACTGTTTAATAATCATAAGCCAGTCCTAAATGATCCACACTACATCCAAACAATTGTGAAAAACTGTTATTATTACCTATTGAGTTTACCTGCTCTTAAAAAACAAAACAAATTACCTACATTTTAAGCTAAAATGCAGCTCAGAGTTATAGCTTAAAAGATCAGATATTCATTGATCAACATTTTCTAGCAGTTGCATAAAAAAAAACCACCCAAAAGAATTATGCAACTCATGTCAGTGCAAACTACAAACTACAATACAACTGGCTACAGTTAGCACTGACTACAATTCCTTTAAATTGATACAGCCATATAAAAACATTTTTCCAGGACTCTGTGTAGACAGGTGGAAAACCAAGTACACCACACAACTATTCAGAAGCTTGTAGAACCATCTTTAGCAGCAACAATGTTAAGCAATTGTTTCCGTATGACTTTATCAGTTCATCAAATGGTGGAGGAATTCTGACCCAGTCTTCTTCACAACACTGATGCAGCTCATTGAGGTTTGTGGCCATTACTTTGACCTTTGATGATCTGTCTGAGCATTTAAGCCAGGTTGAGGTCTGGACTATGGGCAGAAATCTGTGCCATCAGAAACTGAAGTTGAATAAGTTAAATTTGAATTTGAATTGCTCGGATTGAATCTGAATTGTAACTTGAATAAATGCTTTTAAAAACTGAATATGAATTAGCCTAATTAGAAATTCAATTTATTGGTTTGAAAATGATCATCACTAAATTGAAATTGAATTTTATATTTTGAAAATGAATTCATTTCCTTTGAAACCGTATTTTATCCTTTCCCTCTGACTTTTGCTGTTTTGCTTCCACCAGGATAAAATCACACTTCATGCACAGCTCTCTCTCTCTCTCTCTCTCTGTATTTCAAGAAGTTTAAATATCTATTTTCTGCATTATTCGCTTGCTTGTTATGCACCAGTCTACTGTTGTTTACAGCGCTGTCGGACGCTGTTTTTTTCCTTTTACTTACTTCCGAAAAGAAAACCTAATTTCTGCTGTTCAATACTGAACAAATGTAATCCTTAATTTCCTTCATGCTTTTCTGTGTTTTATCCTCAGTTACTTTGACACAAAGGCCTCTGCTGTGATGCTCACACCTTGGATAAAGTTAAAGTTAAAGTCTCACAAGTGTCAGCTTTCTTTTTAAAGATATAAAAATATGGAAATGTACTGATGCATGATCTGAATTATAATATTTCTGACTGTCTGAGGCAAAATTTCCCCGGTTCAAATTGAATTGAATCGAATCGAATCAGGACCTTGTGAATCAGAATCGTATCGATTCTAAAAATCAGTGACGATACCCAGCCCTAATTTGATTATCAGCACCTGCTAAACTGCTAGCCATGGAGGGATTTTCACAAAGTGTTGGTGATATAGACGGGTGACAGAAGACAATCCTGGATGACAAACAAGGAGTTTCAGGCATCTCAGCAACAGTGTTTCCTTTGGTTTTTATACCTGTTAAAACTCATCAATCCAATCAAGCTGCAGTCTGCACAAGGTAAACTTTTACATCAGCATCCACAGTATGAATCTCCTAGGGGGGAAAAAACTACTAAAATCTGCTCTTGCACTCGATATAAAACAAACATCAAATCTATAACAACAACCTAAAAAAAAGAAGTTTCTAACAAGAGACATAAGCCACACCCAAGCTGTGAACGCCCTCTTTAGATCGAGTCAGACGAAGCCCTGAGAGCCAAAAGGCGCCAGGCAACAGCGGCCATTTTGGGCCCCCAGTTAGATCAAGACATTTGATACTCAGTTGCTAACGGCCCTCCATTACGGCTCATATTTCACCGGATTTGACTGTTAGGCTGATTGAATTACCAAGGAGGCGTCGAGAGGTGTGGCTGTCAGAACACGCCGTTTAGATGCAAGAAGTCACAACCAGCTGATGGAAGTAGTGGCAGCAGAGACTTCACAATGGAGGGCTCAAAGAACCAGTTCAGACCTCATTGGTTGTTTTGTTGTTGTTGTTATTGTTGTTTGTTGTTTTGTTACTGTATCTTTTAAAGATGTAATCTTGAGAATATGAAATTAGATTAAATTCCTTCTTGCTCTGTTTCAAGTGATAAAAATGATGTACGGGTAACACCACGTCCCATTTTATTGAAAGGGATTATTTCCAGTTTTACCAAATCATAAACAATAATACCTAATATGACAAATGCTTTCCAGTTTTTTACAATTTATTCTTCTATTAAGTAGAAATAATAGAACACTGATCGATTTCTCATATTTGCTTCTGAAGACCAAAACACGAAGTAGCTTTTAAAAAAAAAAAAAAAAAGTAAAAAATACTGGTAAATAAAATATTGGCATTTTTTGTTGTCATGGCAACACTATACAGACTAAAATGTAAAAAATAAAGATTTTTATTGTGTAAGTTGAGATTTTAAGTGGTTATTAGCAGTTTTCAGAAATGATTTTTAAACTAAATGAACAAAAATATTTTATCTTATATATTAAATATTTCATTAAAAATGCATATGTGAACAGTATTTATAATATAATGTTACCATTTAGATTTTTGTTAAATATTTGGAGGCCTCAGATTCTCAGATTATTTAGCAGTTATAATATGGACCATAAAAACCTTCAGTTCGCTTTAATTTTCAAACAGATGTTTATTTAAAAAGGAACTTTTCACTGAACTCCTGCATCAGAAACGTCACTCTTCTCCTGTTTGCTCTCGTATCACAAGTTTGGACTACACAAAGTTCATTTTTACTGATCATAGTTATGATTTTAAGTACTGCCTGTAGTCCAGGTCTGTAATTTTAAGCCTTTATCTTTTTGTCTTTTCTCTAAATGCTCATCAACCGGCAACGTTTTCAACCTTTTTGTCTTTGCTGCAGAATTTGTTCCTCTTCCAGTGTGAATATCATTTTATACCTCTAGAATCTGCATCATTAAATCTGAGCTCCTCCATCTGTTTTGTGCTATAAAAGAGGAAAATCCTGCTTTAAATCAGTTTCCACTGAAGAATGAAAGTAAGAGATCGTGTGATGGTGCTTGTTCAGCTCCATTAGTGCTTCGTTTCTTTACAGTAGTAATTTCAAATGTGTTTTAATTAAATCATGGATGATTGAGTGTGAGAAACGGATCAATACGACGTATCACACGCTGCAGCTTTAATGCTGTGGAAATGACTGTGGAGTCTGCTGCTGCTGCCGGTGTGGTGATGGCAGCCATTAACATGTCATTACTCCAGCAATATCAGTAACACAGGGGTGTGTGTGTGGGGGAAGGGGGGATGATCCTGGTTACTATGGGAATCCTGACTCGATGGGAGGGGTCAAAAGCATCAATCAAAAAGTGTGTGTGCGTGTGTTTACTGACCATGACTCTGGTTTTAATAAAGCTCTGGAGCATAAGGGTGATGTGTCAGGGGCGGAGTGCTTGTGTGTGTGTTTATTGAGACATTGTGTGTGTGTGTGTATTAACATATGCACTTAACATGTTCTTCACTCTCAGTGTGTGTGTGTCATGTAGAGGTGACTTATGTGTTCCTGTCCTGCTAAAGATCCATCTGACTGCAGGACATCCCTCAGTTCAAGGACATGCACCAATGACAGTGTGTGTGTGTGTGTGTGTGTGTGTGTGTGTGTTGTCTCATTCTCATTTGTTCTGTGTAACCTCTCAGCCTTGTTTAGCTTTTCTTCGTTTCTTGCCTCATAGCTTCCACTCTGCAGCTGGCTCTTCATGCTAATCATGACTGAATGTTTCAGGTGACACCTGAGAGCCAGAAGACTGGCTTCACAAACACTTGGAGGGTATCCCTATTACGGTCGCCTTAGGCAGCCAATCAGAGGGAAGTTGTTTCTACAAAAAGGGGCCGGAGTCAACTGGCTTGTTTCAGACAGAGATGAGCTAAAGAGCTGCACTTGGGCACTGCGTGAGATAAATAAGGATTATTTTGAACTGTGAATCATGCAAAGCTAGTCTGGTTGAGTCCAGAGCTTGAAAGTTCACAGCTCCAGCTCCAACTATAACTTCTTTCTCTTAACTTTATAGTTGATGCACTGAGAGTTACTGAAATTGCATCAACTCTTCCAATAACTCTGGACTGTCTTCAAAATGTACGATTATACACTTAGATGTTCACGTGTTCCTGCTCTGGAATGGCTTCACTTCCCTTACGTGGTCGAATCAGTGAACGTAATCCAGACAACCCTCTGACTCGCTGACAGGAATTCGGATCATCTTTGTATTAAATGGGGAGTTTCTCCTTTAGGTGAGACCATTTTGGGGGATTTCACGGGCGCTCATCAGGGTTGTACTATGTGACTCGACAGACTTGGCGTCCCATCATCTGAGGGCACCTTCATGAAACGTTTCAATTTACAGAGTGTGCACGGCAGGGGTGACGGCGCTTCATTACACCACGCTGTAACCCGCGAGCCGAGCCTCAGGGTCATCTATCGATCCGATCGCTTCGTCCTGACTGTTCATCTACCCGCCGGCGACCCTCGCCGCAGGCCTGCTGCTAATCGACTCTCTGATTGATCACCGCCTCATAACAAAGCAAAGGAAACTGCAGCGATTTTCCATCAGTCAGTCAATTACCGATGTGGATGGGTCATGCTCTTTTTCTTTGTGAAACAAAGCGGCGGGATGTCGCTCGTAGAGGGGGCGTCACCAACATTGTTAAGAGGAATAAGAGGCTCAGAGCTTTGGAGTCTTTTTCTTGACTTGAATTGATGGTTTGACAGTCGATTATGCGCTGAGGGGTTTGAGAAGCCTCGTGCTTTTTAAACCTGTAATTTGGGAAATGCAAGAGTGTCACTGAGGAAACCACTTCACTGTTTTTTTGTTCGATGAAAACACCGTAAAATGGCTTTAAGTAGCATCCAGCCAATAAAATATTCACTCATCTCGCTTTAGATCTGCTGTCTCTTTTGTTGGCAACGTTTCTTTTGTGCCTTTTATTGTTTCTTGCTGTTGATGTTTATTTGAAAGATTTTAATTTTTATTTCCACAATTTAAAACAAGTATGCAGTCTATATCGCTGAAGGTATTTATGAGTTAGTTATTGTGATGTTTTTCCTACAAAAAAATAATTTTTAGTATACGTAAAAAATGTGTTTTAGAAAGAGAAGGATGTTCTCAAGCTGCACAACAAAACAAGCCATCATTTACTCATATTGTGTTCGTGTTAAAATATTCACCATCATAAGAAAAAAATCCAGATTTTAAACATAGTCATTAAAAACAAAATCCTTTACTAGCAAGTGCAGGAAGTCTTAAGAAATTCTGCTTTGTGGTGTGTATGCGAGTGCAACGCAATCCATGAAATAAATGAAAAAGACCTGCAGAACACAAGCGCGACGACTATAAAGAGAGCAAAATTAATTTGCTTGTTCCACCTCTCATTCTCCAAATCTCTCTAATTAAATGCCCGAGTGGTGAACGCTCATTTGTTTCCACAAAAAGTGCAGCCAATATTCCTCCAGCACCCACGACTCTGTCCTTTAGCGAAAGAAAACAGATGAAGTCCGGAGTCAGAGATAATGGCTTCACAAAACATTTCATCAGAGAGCGTGTCGGATTGGTCAGCTGAAGATGACCTCAGTGTGAAAAGAAATCTCAAGGTTGTTTAGAAAAGCATCAAAAAGCAAAAGAAAATCGAGGAAGACGAATCTTTTTGTCTCTAATGAGCTGCTGATAAGCAGAAATCACAGATTCTTTGACTCCAGTGGATCTGTCACTGAGTCCACCTACAGGGCTGAAAAAAGAGGCTCACGGTGAATCTTTAAAGTATTAGGAGCACTCATCGTTTAAAATCAAATGAAAAAGCAGATTGTGTACAGGCTGAGCTTCTTCACGCCCTTAAAAATGGCTCCACCACTTTTCCAGTCGCCCCACCTCTGCAGGAGTTCGCAGGGAATGGTGGAGTAGATGCTTTAGCCCCGTCCAGCTTTTAAAATGTTACACAACTATATAGTTATAAAGTATAATTAAGTTTTCAATAGTAAGCCTTTTTAGGGAAACTGTCCCCTTTCAGGCTGTCATGCTATTCCTCCATGTATGTTTGTCTGCTCGTCTGTACAATTACACCCGAACCTCAAAGCTGAGCCTTGTGAAGCTTGGAGAAGAAGCCGATAACGTCTGGTGCAGAAGGAGGTGCAGTTTTTACTCTGAGAGAGAGGAAACCACGTCTCCAAGGCTACTTTCAGTAAAACGATACAGGCTGTGTGTGTGAGCATCATCATAAGAAGTTTCAGTTTATTAGTCGTGTAAATATTCTGGCTGTAGAAGCTGATTTAGTAGTGACAGAAAAGTATATTTTGCTGAGGAACGTAGAAGAGACGAGCATGAGAATCAGTAAATAAGTGTAATGCACTGTGTCATTTGTTCCCAGTGAAGAAGAAGCTCAAAAAGCGGCGATCGTCGTCGCCGGTCAGGCTTATGCTCATTAACGGCGTCGAGTTTGAACTGGCAGCACAAAGTCAGACTTTCTCCTTACTTTGCAAATGTGTCTCCTGCTCAGCTTTGGAGACTGAACATATATCTAAGTTCGTGTGAGACACGTCTTTATTCTTTAATACCGCAGCGTTAATCCGCTCAGAACAACAACAGAGTCACGTCATCCACGCCGCTCTGCAGCTCCGAGCCTCTCTTCATGCTGTCTGATGAACTCTGGTCATTTCTGCAGATTTATTTATTTTTCTGTTCCATTAAAAGCATGAAATAGCAAAATCACTACAATTTCCTGGTAATCTTTTATTCTTTGAGTTTTAAATTGTGTATCCAGCAAGGCCATGTTTTACCAGCCCACCGCCTCCATCTGCTTCTTTTATATCCAAGCAGTTTCCTTCTTACTCTGTCATCTTTTTTATCTTGATTTGTGAAAATGAACTTGCTAAAATGTTCGTGTGCAATCGGAGCGTTTTTCTAAAAACACAAGCTGATCTTCATC